CGATTATATATTTGGATAGAGCAAGAAATGCGCTCCAGAATGGTATAAAACTTGCAAAAAATCTAATAGCAGATAACATGGCGGCGAGCATTTGAAAATTGGGCGTCAAAAACCGCAAGAACTTTCTTCACGACCTAATAGGAAGATGATATCCTATGCAGACTGTCATGAAGCCGATTTGTTGACATTGAGACAAGTTCCCTTATAATTATGGCAGTCAAAACTTCGTACATTGTCATCGTGTGCGCTGTCAATCTAGTACCACGTAGTTGGGACTGGATTGACAGCGCACACGGTAACGGATGGGACGGCTCGCTCCCCTTCTTCTTGATGATAGGACCACAATAATGCTCATCCAAGCATCTCCCGTCAGTGCTCACACATTTCAAGAATCAAGTGAGCCTCCTAGTTCCGGGCTTTCCAAGCGTCTTCCATGTATTTAATGGTAAGCCCTGCAGACCAGTTGCACACCCGACCATCGTAATTCCTAATGCTCGACGCAAAACATTCTGTTCAGGGGCTAGCCGTTTTTATGGTCCATCGACTTGGGGTCTGCTCTCACCGTGGAGTTCCTCGTTTGGAAGCAGATCGAAGTATTCCTTTCACCCGCTCGTGACTTCACCAGGCTTCCTGAGGATTGTATTGTTACTGCCTCACTACTCCGACACCTTGAGTAGCCCCGTGATGTGCTTTATCGACAGAAGAAGAGTTTCTCTAATTTTCGATCATAGCTCTCCCCTCACAAGACTTCATTTCCGTACACTTTGCTTTCACTTGGGTGCACCGAACGAGCCTTTTCAACTTTGGAAGACAGCTAGGTCTACTAAATCTCGATGTTTTGCCAGTGCTTAAACGCGTCATACTTCTACTTTCCGACTCTTTCAAAGTCACTAACCCAGGAATGTGGTGCCTTCTCTCTCTGACTTCGGCATGCGCCTGACAAAACGATTTGTCCAGTGTAGGATGAGCATCACTGCATTGTTCCATGTCTGCTGGACCAAAGTTGATTATCCGGGAGACCAGCCTCCAGAATCCTTTGTTTAGAGTCATTCGTTTCAGTTCGGCTCAGCTCCATTCTTAAATTCCTCTCATGGCTCGATAGCCTTCAACTTCTCATAAACAATCGAGCGTTTACAGATCTGGATTATGTTAGCATTTTTGGCGAGCTCGGTCACTTAACAGTACCTCTCACAGAATCCCGAAACTCGGCTAATGACCTCTGCACCACATGCCGTATAGGTCTTATTGCTGCTACTTTGAGAGACTTCGAACATGGTTTTTCGATCAGCTTCCTCGATCACTCGGCCTATAAAACAGGAGCTGACGCTGGTACGACGCAGTCTTCCATGCTTTTTTCAAAACATGGGCTTTGCTCAGGCAGGGATAAAACTCGTACATAGGTTTCTGAGAGCAGACATGAATATCTACTCTCAATCACTTGACCGTATTGCAAAGCACACTAGAAGGTCTGAATAGATTCCGTCATCGCTTTCCGAAATCCATTGTCAGCTACATCGAACATGTCACATAACTAAAGAATTTGCACAGTTCTGAGAGGTCTTTCAGATACTCCCTCAACACCGACCCTAGTGCTAGAAAATGGGCCATCCAACAGAAGCAACGGCTTGTGGGGGCTTAAATGAAATAATAACACACTTCGGTGAATCAAAGCATTCTTCCAAACAATCTTGACGCCTCCTTTTAACAACCCTGGAATCGGAAAACGTGGGGAACAAATCGTCCCCATTTCCGATTCCAGGGTTGTCAAAAGAGGGTCTTTTTAGGCAGGAGCTCTATGTCTCCTATTGTTCAGTTCATGAATCCTACTCCATTCGCTATCATACATCAGTACAATCGGTCATATGTCGGTCTACAATCGATCTTACAAGGTTCCTTGAAGTATCTCAAGAGTACAAAATGCCGTTATGTCTTACGTTCATCGACTCATAAGGGTGCTTCCTGAGCAGTACGACAATTTCACGACCAGGATTTCAACATTCAATAAGGAGGTCATTATCAACATAAAGAGAGGTGTCCGGCAGGGCGATACCATTTCGTCCTAACTTTTCAGCACCGCTCTCGAAGATATCATGCGTTATTTGGAATGGAAACACTTGGGAGTGAAGGTCGACGGCCGCTATGTACATCATCTCCGCTTTGCAGACGACATCGTGCTCATAACACCGAACATCGAGCAGGCGGAACGAGTGCTGACCGAGTTTGACAATGGGTGTAGAAAGGTCGATTTGAGACTGAACTTAAGGAAGACGATGTTCATGAAAAACGGACTGCTCCCTACAGGCTGTACGGAACCAATATATCCGAATGCTCTGGGCTTGAAAGATCCTTGGAAGACGCTCTCTGGAAAGGACGATGCTCGGAATTTCCCTGTACACGGAAGTGCAGAAGGGAATCCGGAGTTCCGAGCTCCGTTATCGAACGTAGATCAAGGATGCCGTTGATTACGCCAAGAAATCGAAGATCGGGGGGCAGGACACATTATGCGATATAGTAATGACCGTTGGACCAGGGCGGTTACTGACCTGGATTCCTCGGGACATCAAACGAACTCCAGGAAGAACGCCAAAGAGATGGTCAGACTTCTTCACGAAAACTCTGAACGAAAGGAATGTTGAACCTCGTGTCCCTGAAGCGAGAACGATTCACTGGACCACTCTGGCTCGTGACAGGGACGAATGGAGACGTTACAGGCGCCCGCTCGAGGAAGTCGATGATCAACGGGACGACAGGTGAAACAGGTGATACTCCATTTGCTTGTCATTAGTTGTTAGGTAGGTTTTCTTGCAAGTTTGCATAATAATCGAGGTATGAATTCTTATACCTCCAAGATGGTGATGACTCATCTGACGCGGCTCGCGATTATTGGCATGCAAAGGAAGTGAGGGCGACGTAAAACTTCTTGTATTTTCAAAAACGGCCCCCAACGAAGGTCACAAGACGATACCATGAGCAGTAGCGTACATAGGCAAACACAAAAGAAGTGGAAGGACCAGATTTTTAAAGTAGGACTATAAAGGTAGTCCGTTCGTGAATCGGACCCATTCCCGTGTGATCACTGATCGGATGACAACGGAATTGGACTTGTCGAAGTCGTTGATGATGCGGATTGTTCGGAAGAGGCTTCATTACAGTTTTTATCGTATGCAGGAATTACTTTTAACTATGATGCTAACAGACAGTGTAGGGTTAAAAAAAACAGGTCCCACTACAGTGGAGACAAACATCCCTTTGCCGTTTTCACCGGAGTAACGAGAAAGGTCGAAGACGTATTGAAGCTTCGCTCCTATTCTCCTCTCTGAAACAATGGAAAAAACTCCCAACAGTAGAGATACTTCCGCCATCGGAGACAAGCTCGTCCAAGAGTGGTGCCGACGTGAGGCCCGACCACATAAGCACCTGTGAATGACCCTTTCACCCTTTCTCAATCCACTTGGCTTTTGCGTGCGGTCCCTAATTGGAAGGGAGACCTGTANAGCTGGCCAGCCCATTTTGATCAGTTAAGAGCAAAAACGTAAGAAGGCTGTGTAGAAATGTAGGCAGGATACCTGCGTGCAACGAATTGTGAATTTATGAGCAAGTTTTGAGCCTGTATCCGTTTTCATGGGAAGTGCTTTAAGATTTGATTGCGGCCTGTTGTTATCCATAAGCAAAGGTACATGTGGATTTGATTCTCATTCTCACTTTAGAAGCTTCAAATACATTGAAAGCATAGTTTTGAGACACCCCTTTGTTTGATGATCATGGCAATGCTCACTCAGCTGATGCCAGCTTTCTTTGATAATTGATGAAGAGTTTACAGATCTTATATTCACCGGGACCAAGTGCAGGGACTCTCTAAACCCAGTGAGACGGATGAAGCTTTGCACATGGACTCCAGAAAACCCGGCTACGGCTATCGAATTGGTGAAAAAGCTGATAGTCTTCGAGAGCCTTCTGGGATTAAGGATCGGCTTAATGATTGACAACAACTACTACATCAACCGGTACTGTAAGTTCGTAGCTAATCCTCTGACAATGCGTCAAGAATAGTTTATTCAAAGCGACAACCACGAGCAACTATTCACATCTTTCGCTTGCATAGCTAATGCTCAGCTCATTTCATTATCAGAAAAAAAAGAATTTCAACCCTCTAACCCTCCCAAAATTCTTTGCAGTCATACTGGCTTCAAATCTGAGAAAAGCCCATCAGTCACTAAGAAAAACCCCTCAAGAGTGTGAATGCCTATCATCCAAACACGGTAAACATCCTCACTTGTCCATATATAGACATGTAGACAGACACTTATATAGACAAGCTTTTTAAATTCGACACTAGCAAAAAGACGAACCAACGACATCCTTCCTCTCAGCAAATTTTCCGACCTCACTATGGTTCTTCCCGGAAGACAACTCTCCATTTCTGTTCGGTGCATTTTTTTCTCTGAAACCCAGTTTGCCAACTTGCTCAAATCGGATGCTGTGCTTTTCATATTACATTGTAATTGGTACTCAGATTTGGCCATTAACATGCTAGTGCATGGCTTAACCCTTGTAATAAATAAATAAATAACGTGATCAAATATTGAGCCGATAAGAAAGTCTAGGACATCGCCTCCAGATATATATCCTTATATATTATATTTTTACTGTTATTATAATAATTGACTGTCCCTTGCGAATGCTCTTTCCGGCCTCGGCTGCTTCGTCCATGACTGCTGCTCTTCTCTCTTTCAGATCTTCCTTTATCGCTTCTCTGCATAGCTTAGCAAGTTCGGACGTTTGTTGATAATTGCCTGTAGCTCGCTTCCCTTGCGAGTAAATGGGAGGATTCCGTTATCGACAACATCGACGAAGAATACAACCGGCTCGTCGAACATCTTCACGATAGTGCTACGAGAGCAGAGAGTCTACAAG